AATTCTACTGTGCATGTATAATTTTGCTTGATTAGAATAAAAACTAATAGTTTTTCCATTTTCAGACCACGTCATTCTTTTGAGAATAAATCATTCTTTGATAATGATCAGCTTTAGCCATGCATATTCATGTCCTTAATGAATTCTCATGTGTACTGGTCAGCTGTTAAAGAAAGAAATAATACTATAGGAATGACACATTGTCTGAAATTGGAAAACATAATATATTCCGAAGTCAAAGAGGTTTCAGATAATTTAAATAAAAAGGGGTTATTATATTTAGGAGAATCATTTTTTTGTAGCACACATGAAAGTAGCAAAAAATAGACTAGCTATGTAAAGCCCCTCGCCTCTCTTTATGCAGGCAGAGTACACTGCAGTCCCTGGTTATAAAAGAAGGTTTTTTATTATTTTTTWAATTTTTAAACAACATTTAATTGCACTGTACAAAAGTACAAGCTCTGTTTTATATTATATGGGAAGGTTAACCAATTTCCTCCAGTTTTCCGTGGTATATGTCCTCTTATTTTCTTAATCTAGCTGTCAAAATGTTGTGGCCAAGGGAGGCCACAACATATTTTGATGGCTAGATGATGAAAAAAAGTGGTAAATAAGAGGACATACCATGGAAAACTGGAGCAAATTGCTTTTCTTACCACAGAAAATTAACAATTTTACTACAAAAACAAGGTTAAAATTTTAAATAAAGACAGTTTCAAGCATGTGCGTGATTTGCTGACGTAAATCATTGGTATGTCCTCCTATCTCCCCCGGCTCTAGACCAATCAGAAAGCGAGAAAAATCACAAATGCGGTAAAATAATAATTGGTACGAATGTCATTAATTATAGCTATTTCAGCCTATCAGGTTTGAACTGGGCCTGTGAGGGGGGAGAAGCTGTAATATTCAGTCTGCTCAAGTCAAATACCCACTAAATTTTGTTTTGGATTCCAGTTGTTAATAAATTCAAGTTCAAGTTCTTAATAAATAAAAAGTATCCCTTACTTTCAACAGGATGGAACTGTCTACATTCATTGGCAAATATTATTTTGGCCTACTGTCTCATTCATCAGGGAGGCCCAACATTGACCACTGTAGTGTGTTCTTTTATACTTAACCTGGTAAGAGCAACGGTAAACCTTAATATCTCTAATCATTCTTAGCCTGTGTAGCAGACCTACTGTACAAACTGTTTGGAGGGGGTCTGGAAAAGGGAGGGCCATTCCCATTCAATTCCAGAAGATTTTTAAAGGGCTGCCACACATGCTATTGTAACCTTGGTAAGATCGGTCGTAGAAACACTCCCTAAATTATGGTACCTTTGTTTGGCTTTAGGATGCATATATACTGACCAAACCTAACAGTAAACCAGACAGAGATTGAACTGATACCAGCATTAGCCAATCAGATTATGAAATATTTATTAATTTAATACTGTTATCTGATTGGTCAGTTTTATTCAAGTGGTCCCGATTAGTGTGTCTGCAAAGTAAACATCACAGCGTTTGCCAATCAGATTATGAAAAAWTTATTTATTTAATAGGGTTATTTGCATGTAGCATATTATTGTCGCTCTCTAGATGAGTTCATGCTGGACTGGTCTGTACCACATTGTATACTGTGTTTACGCTTGATAGGTAGGTGAATGACTTGAGAAGAAGAAAAAAATCAATCTGAATAGGATTTCCCATTTTATCATATCCCCCCCCCCTCCCTCCCCTCCCCTTTGGAACTTCCAGACCAAGATGCTCCCCCTCTTCTTCAGAATTCTTGATCTGAAAATCCCCCTGTCTCCCTCAAAGTTTCCCAAATGCCGCCCTTGGTAGGGGTGTTTATATTTTTACTGGAACTGTCCATTCACAGGTAAAGACGTCTCTCTCTTAGTATTACTTTATCTTTACAGGTATTGCATGGGACTATTATGATGGAAACAACTTTAATAATAACGTGAGCATCATATATTTTCTATTACTGATATAATCTTTGCATGAAATATCATTTTTGAAAAATAATATTGAGAATCTAGTTATAATTGTAATGATTATTCTTTAGACCAAAAAAACGGGTATTGGGGACCCTGTGTAGTTACGTAGCAGATTGTAGAGAATCTTTGTAGTTGAAAAATAAAGGCAGGCGAAAAAGAAGAACAATTATAATTAATTATTATTTATGATGGTTATGGTTATTTGATGGCCCTATGTAAGATTAGTTTTAGCTGAATTGGTTTATTTTCCATTGCTAAATAAAGTTTATCATCATCATCATCATCGTCATCATTATCATCATCATTATTATTATTATTATTGTGATTGTGTGTCTAGATGCCATTATTGACATAACCAAAGTCAAATAGACCAGTTTCGAATTCCAAATTACCGCTGTATTTCTTGATTACAGACTCATTTACGCAGGGTTAGCCTCGATTTTGTGCAGAATATTCACGTGTTGCAGTCAAGGTCCGTCGAGTTTCAAAGTGATTCTATTGTTGAAGTTGTGCATTCTTTATTTTACCATTGGTATTTGTGAATATTTACGAGACACTGATACGAGGCTAACCCTGTGTAAATGAGTCTGTAATCAAGGAACACAGYGGTAATTTGGAATTCGAAACTGGTCTTGAACAGTGCCTTCATTTGCAAGAAGATCTTAGATTTCTTTTGTTTTATCCTTAGAAAATATCAGAAGACATGAAAGCCACGAGAATTTCTACACCCCCAACACTGTTTGAGGTACATCAAAATTAATAAGAGAGATTGATCACCACACAGAGCACCCTAAAAAAGGGGGGCTATGATTGGAAAATATGACACTAGTATGGGAAAACGGAAAAAGTGGGGGGCTATAGCACCCCCTGCCCCGCCCCCTCTGCGGCCCCTGCACCATCATATGTATTCAAGGTCTTCTTATTGACACGTGACAATAAATCAAATGTCTGTTTCATTACGTGAGTATACACTTATTTATTCCGTTTTTATAATCTTAATGGACATTATTTTGCAGATGACTGGATTTTGCTACTTTTTCGGAGGCGTTCTAGTTGGACCACAGGTTAGTGTACATTCTAGCAAGATACTGAGGCTCCCCGGAATAAAATGTTCAAAACTGCGTAGTAGCAAGATATAGGAGGGTGCCATGGGGGTACCCAATTGTCAGTACTAATTTTTCGGCCGGATGTCAGTTAACGTAATAATTTTACGAGCGCTGGCCATAATATTAACCAAAATAAAAAATGTATCAGTTAACTGTTAACTACTAATTTTGGGTTATTGGTCAGGTAACTGCTATTTATTTGGATAATTGTCAGTTAACTACTGACCTTATTGGCACCCTCATATAGTCCTGTAAATGCGGTTATTATAAGGTTGTTGAGTCAGTGAACTGACTAGCATTTCTAACAAAAATTTCTTATTAATTGCCGAAAGGTAGTAACGTTGTATATTATTATATCCCTAACAATAAATAAATTTGTCCGTCCATCCGTCCGTCCGCCCATTATTTCGTTCATTCATTCGCTTATTTTTTCATTTTTTAAAGTTCTCAATAAGAAGATATCAATCGCTTGTTGATGGAACACTTCAAGATAAGGACATTGATAGGAGTTCAAGGTAAGCAAAGCAAAGGAGTAGTTCGTCAGAAAATATTTGCTGAATCAAAAGAAAAAACCTTTCCTCGATTTTATCGAACGTTGAAACTGAACCTCTGGGCTGATCTTTAGTACGCGCACAGCAAGGTCATGGATCTCATTTAAATTTAGCTTGCTAAGTTTTTTTGTTTTGTTTTGTTTTTTAACCTCGAATACTTCTTTTTACAGTTCTGTTTAGTGACCATGCACGAATAGTAGTTCCAAATCGAAGATGGAGTTGGCGCGCATAATAAACTATAGTTTTGCTATGCTCGGCAACTCCAATCTCAACTTGGAACTATTATTCGTGCATGGTCACTGAACAGAACTGTAAAAAGGAATGTTAAAAGAGAGACCCTCAAATGAAGTGGCTTATATATATTTACACATATTTCTAGTATTTAACGCATATATCTATTTGTATTCATCTATTCTATTCATCAGTATTTCTATTTATTTGTACTTGTATTTTATATACCAGGGCTCCCATTGATAGCAGAGCTTTTTATTAGTTCTGAAGGGACTACCCTGGCTTTATTTATTTATTTTTGAATAAAGGTTTCATTCATTCATGCTATATTCTAATGTGATGGCGGGTCCAGGAATCGAGCCTGAGACCCCGGAGGTGAGAGGCGAGTGCCCTATGCTGCGCGCTACGCCACAATCGATTCTTCGGTAATGAAAATTGCACTTTTTTCTTCTTCTAGCATCCAAGCTGGGTTGCAACGCTTCTTCTTTGGAATTGTGTACTTGGTATTATTCGTTGTCTTCAATTTTTCCTTCAATAAAAATCACTTCCTTTCTGAATGGTTTGAGGTAATTTTCCCCCTAAGTCATACTTTTGTATGTGTTATGATCATTTGACTGGTTTCTTTTCTTGACCGAAGGCATCGAAAAATTCTTATAAGATATGATTTTTTATTCTTTGCAGAATATTTCACTTTTACATCGGTTCTGGTTTTTTATTTGGTTTTACGAAGTCATGTATATGAAGTATCTAGGTCTTTTCTTGGTGTCGGTGAGTAACACAAAGAGATTTTAGCCGCCATTCCGACCTTGAGGAAAAAATTTGGTCGAGTTGTTGTTGAAGTGCATTCAGTTTGGGGCTGTTCATTAGGGGGAGAAATAACCGCCATCTTGAAAATATGCCGTCTAAAACAGCCCCACAATGCAGTGCAAGATATCAGAACTTTATCAAAACGCGGGTTTTGCCGTAAAGATGTTCCGCGTTCTATCGAGAATGACTGTAGCGCTGATAATACTTGACACGCTCAACTCAGCGCTTATAAGTTTCACGAGATACTAACTCTGATTTTCGAAAAAATTGGTAAACGGAAGCCAAAATACATTAGCCGCAGGGGCTGTGTTGGTGTTGTGAAGTGAGGTTAAGGTGACTGCCTACTTTTGGAAATTGATTTAAGCTTTTCTTAAAACTTCGATTTTCCGAATTGAAATTTAATGCTGATTCCAAATCTGGAAAGAAAAATAGGGTGTCCCGAGCTCGTTTTCGAGATAGTCAGCATTTAATGGAAGCCTACGCACGAGCTTTTGGAGTAAAAATTGAAGTGATTAGAAAAAAAATTAAGATTCATAAGATAATAGTTATTTGCAGACTATATGATTGCACGAACGAAGGCTAGTCAATCCTTCTACAATAATACATGGATATTTTCGACAAAAAGACAGAGAGATACATTGATTTGTCATATTTCGTAGTTTCGGTGCTCTTAAAAAATCTCAAAGTCGAACAAAAATCCCTACAAAAATCTATGTTTTCACGTGTTCCTGATGTAAACTTTTCCTAAAATGTTGATATAACCTTGATTTTTAGGAGTTTTTTCGAATGAGCTATCAAAAAATATAGAGTCCCGTGCAAAATTTGAGGGTTTTGCCCTGTTGAAGCTCAAAACGCGTATAGTTCTTCAATAAAATCTTGTAGATTTTTCAGCGGTTTTTGAGCGCGCGCACATCGTGGGCTCAAATCGAACGTTCAAAAGTAGGCAGCCACCTTAAGGTGCGGGTTCACAGAGGACAAAATCGCTTCTCTTCTCGCGCAGTATTGATGTTTTGTACGTTGTTACCGCTCTGCGCACAGCAAATATGCTAACTCAAACTTTTAAAATTTTGATTAACGGATGCCAATAACTGACTGCGTATGGTACATCGTGTTGCGTGACGGTCACGCAGTTATATCGTCACGCAACAGTGATATTTGTACGTTGTTACAACTTTGTGCTCATCGAATTTTCTATGTCTCCAGCAAAGTAGAAACTAAGAAACAACGAAAATGTTTCCAACATTGTTTTGTCACAAGGGTTTTCCGAGTTTGACTCGACTTTCTTACACAGGAAGGCTGCTGTATTATCACCGGGCTAGGATATAATGGTAAAACAGAGGAGGGGAAGCCAAAGTGGGATGCTGTGTCTAACATACGCATTATCAGTTACGAGACTTCTTATTCTATTCAGGTAAGCAATTGGTGATGGTGAGGAAGATGATGCATCATGATGATGGTGGTGGTGGTGGTGTTGATGACGATGATGAAGGTCTGGTGGTGGTGGTGATGATGGTGATGAGGATGATGATGATRATGATCAACGATGACATCGATGATGGTGGTGGTGGTGATAATAAGGATAGTGTGATGGTGGTGCCAATATTAAAGCTGTTGCTGCTGCTTGGGATTATGATGATGATGATGCTGATGATGATGATGGTGTTATTTATGATGATAATAATAGAACACTTGCATTATAGCACACGTCAGTGCTACTTACGACAGTGATGATGATAGTTCCTGATAAACTTATTTTGTATTCTTTCAGCAAATTATTCAATCTTTCCATTTACAAACCAGCTTATGGATAGTGCGGTAAGAGATAGCTTAACATTCCCTTGTATCTATTGTAGTATGAGTGCCACTTAGGTTTTCCCGGCGACCGATATTACAAGCGATTATGTTGGCATTTCAATAGACCTCTTCGCCTTGGACGTAATGTTTTCCCATTTCAGACCACGTGTCATTCCCTTGAGAATGAGATGCTTTGTTTGAGTGTTATCCATATTCATTTGTCTTCTCATGTGCAACCCTTAAACAAAGAAAGAATACTCTAGGGAATGACACGTGGTCTGAAATGGGAAAACATTACGTCCAAGCCGAGGAGGTCTATTACATTAGCCATTTCGAGATTGAGAAAAAACGACACTAGAGAAAGACGTTTGCGCATGCGTGCACTTCAGCACGTTTTCTAAGAATTTTGAAGTTTGAGTGAGAAAATAAATGTTTGTTTCCTCCAAGTACACTAAAGAGTTCGAGAGTATACTTTTGTCACACTAAGATACTGTATTAACAAACACAATATGAAAGAATTAGCCTTAAGTTTCAAGCATGGACGCTAAGTTTTGGCATTTTTTTTGTGAAGTCCAATTTATCACGCATGTTTGAAAGCCAAATTTACATATGTTTTGACTAATGTGTATACGGATTCAGAGCATGCGCAGACGTTTTTCACTCGTGTCACCCTATCAATGATAGCAAAGACTGAGAAGCTGAGCATGCGCCCTGATGACCTGGTCGCAAGATACTTGCTTCCGGTCCGTTAGGGTTTCCCAGAGCCTACGACTCGGCTATTAAATGAGTAGAAAAAAATACCGAAGCTCAATTATTTTCTCTCTTTTTGATCATAAAGTATTCAAGTAATTTATTGTAAGACTGTATGGTTGTTAATTTATTTAGTATTCATTGATTTATTCGAATAAAAAATAATTATAAGAAAAAGAGTAGGTTCTGGGAACGAAAATGAGTTTTACCATTTTATGACTGATAAATATTCCGGGATTGTGTTTACAGATATGTTTACAAACGTGCAAAGTTTCTTGGCAACAGAATCTTGTCCTTGGCTATTGCCCAGTTCTTCCTCGCTGTTTGGCATGGAGTGCAACCTGGGTACTTCTTTTTGTTTTTCTGCCAGTTCATGATCATTGTCTTTGAGCGATCGGTAAGGATACTTCAAGTAGTGCTTGTTATACACCTAAATCAAAATGGCACACGGGCGGTTGAAAACGAGGCATCCAGGGCCAAATTGACAAATTTACAGTATTTTCTTATAATTTGATGCTGCAAAATTTTCGCATTCCTGAGGGTAAGAAGGAAAGAAAGACAGAACAAGTGCATACTTTGTATTGACACCATATTAGTTCTTTGCATTTGGCCCTGGATGCCTCGTTTTCATGTAACACACTCGGCCGTGCGCCATTTTGGACATTTGGGGTTTGATTGTATGAGTCAGACTTCTTTTGAATTCGCAAAACACCGCTGTGCTCATTGATTAGAGACTCATTTACTCAGTGTTAGTCTCATTTCCACACTACAAAACTGAAAACCCCACCCCCAGATCCCTGGTATACATTCGGCATGTAGGGTTAGATTTAGCACTTTCTATCTCAGTTAAAGTTGTTGCTGTTTGAAGCTGTTAGATGCGCGTTAAATCCTCGGTCTCACCGCTTTAATTCCCCGCCCTGTCCCGGGGTTCGGAGGGCCCGGTGGTCTCAATTGACTAAGTGCATAAAGGAAATTACAATTTCAAACACCTTGAAATTCCACGACACCAACAGTTTATTTTTACCGTTAAAATTAATAGAGTAGGTGAAATACAATATACAGTAATACCACGGTCGGACTCGAAACCATTTCGAAAGAACTCGAAACTAGAGTATTTGTGATCTAAAGAACCCATGTGCTCCTTGCTTACAAACGAATTTAATCGGGGTTTGCCTTATTACAGCGTTAAATTAGATGTTCAAATAATGTAAGCTTTGTCACAATGTGAAACTTCTTTCTAAATAAGCAGAACAGCTAGAGTGAATGCCGCAAATTTTGCGCAGAATTATGAAAGGGGAAAGTGCAAGTGCACGTGGGACTGCGTGTGTTTATGGGGGAGGGTAGGGTAGGGAGGATTCTTCATAAAATTTCATAAATCATCGGTAATTTTTCTTTTGTTTTCAGGTCCTAACAATCTGGGAGCTATTACAATGGAAGAAGGTTTCAGAGATGCCCGTTTATGTACAGATCATAGTTAAACCGTTGCTGTACTTATGGTCCCATATGTTGATGGGTTACGGGTCAGCTCCTTTAGCTCTATTGTATCTGGACAAAATACATAAGGTATGGATTTAAAAAAATCGATCTTCCATTTCCCCTTGCGCAACCAACTGACCAACTCGAAAAAGTCGAAACAAACTGCGCATGCTCAAAAAATGTTTATGTATAATTTCTCATGTAACTTTTTTTTTCCTTTCAAACGAAGTGTTTTGGTTTCTAGAATGCGGATTCGTTATTACTAACTGGCTGTAGAGGACTTAGAGAGCACAAGATAATATTTTCTTTATTTCCAGTCCGGTATATCCTATAAATCGTGCATTCTAATAGCCCACTTCCGAGATATGCTTCGCTTGTCACGCACAAAGGTTTCAGTATGAGGCTACGTGCTAAATTAAATTTATTCCTACCGCCTGTCACAAATGACTGAGCATTTAGCACGTAGCCCTCATACTGAAACCTTTGTGCGTGACAAACGAAGCATATCTCGGAAGTGGGCTATTGGCTGCGCAAGTGGGATTGCGCTAAACAACGTACAAGAAAACATTTACAAATCAAGATAAAAGTTAATGGGAAGAATACGAAATATGACTTCCTTGGCCGTATAGTCAAGACCGAGGGTGAACTTAAAAAAACCTTTATCTGTTTTTTAAATAAGGGTCCTTATTTAATCGCCGTCGGTCTAAGCACAAGCCAGGTATTCAAAAAAAAAACTTGACTTATAGATCCCTGCAATCTTCCTTTTCCATGCAGGTTGGAATGTTAACGTATTATGCACCGTTCATTGCAATCACTACCTGGATAACGATCATCTATCCATATGTGGTTCTACCTCGCCTTGGCTCAAGGAAGCCGCTGGCCAAAGTGAACTAGGCACTGATTATCTGAAGTACTTAGTCTCTTGTATCTTCAATTGTTTGTGTTCAATGTTACAGACAATTTATCTAATAAGATGGATGTATTTTTACCTTAGTCGAGCTGTGGCGACATTCTGACTATGTCAGCAGTTCAGCAGTGCTTTTGTGAGCTGGACAAACCTACTCACTTCTTAACCTCAGCCTCAATAGAGGTTTGGCACCATCACGTGACGTCAGCCATGTTAGATGGGAGGAACAATACAATCGTTTTACATAAGAAAGAGCAGTTCCCGAGAGCAAAGGAATTCTGTCATCTAACCACAGGTAGCCCAAACTGTATTATGGGCGCCGGCACGTGATGGTGCAAAACCTCTATACATATTCACAAAAATTAAAATATTATCACACTGATCCAATATTTATGAAAAAGAAAATATGTATTTTAGGAATCCCTACCTTGGGAGCAAGGCTCTCTTGACCAGGCCTTCTCGGTCGTAGTTTTCTAGAAGTACTGGATGGAGAGAGCTTTTTAGAACTTAACCAAATTTTAATTTTTTTTTTTTCCTTTTTACTTTTTGTTTAAAGTACACAATAAATAGTATTTTTTAAGAGTGAGATGTAATATTTTCATAACTATATACAGCGTGTATTCCAGAGGAAGTAAATGATGTGTTAAGTCCTCAATTGTATTTATAAAATTAAACAGGAGTAAAGAAAAATAAACATATAGTATGTTGCAGTTTGCGTTGTTTGGATGTGTTTGTCGACTCAACTACAGGGAGCCCAATATWAATAATTCTAACGAATCTCCCAGTTTTCTTTCTGTCTTTCTTCTCTATATCTCGATTAATCCCTATTTCCCCTTATTTCTCTCCCTCCCTCTCATTCTTTCTCCAAGGCAATATTACGCAATCAATGCGTAATACCGATTTGAAGTTTGAAATGGAACCACAGGCAGCCCAATGAGTGTCTTATAGTCCGTATACTTCATAGGAGGAATTCAAAAGAAAAAATAGAGAAACGCAACAAATATTTAGTTGAAGACATTTGAATGAATTTTTAGTCGTTTCTTGTACAGAAAAATCTTTGAGCGATTTACAATTTGACTGGTACGTTTGACTTCTTTTGTTTCACACAAGGGTTATTTCCGTTTCCGGTTGCCTCTCGTTATCAAATCGAGGCAGTTCGTTATTATTATACTCAAACAAAATGGCGGATTACGAGACGGTTGGTGTTGGAGATATCAGTTTTTTGGTTCAGAAAACTGGCCTTTCTGACCCTTCACTGCGTCTGGTCATAGGCTTACTTGCAGGTACTACTATTTTTTTTAAATTTATCTGTCAAGTTTGACTTGTTATGAGGAGAAAAAACAAGTTTTGATTGTCATTTGTAAGGGACGTTTGGTCACCTGTTGGTGAGTTTGGTGATACTGGGTGATGTCTAATGCAAGTTTTATTCCTCTCTGYTTAAAAAATCTGGGCATTCCTAAACGTAATACATCACAATATTATATAAAATTTAACCAAAAATTTTACTTTCCTTTGGTTAGAAACTGAAAATCATTTTCATTTTGCATACTTTTACATTCAAATTCAATCAATACAATGTACAATCCAATTGAAGCTTATCAAGTTTTTAAATGAGTAAATTATACGAGAATATATTTGATTTAGACTGAGGACTGTTTGAAGCATTCAATACGCCAAACACTCTTCAAGATTATTACAATATGATACCATTAATATTATGTTTAGCTCACCTTGTAGTTAATTTAATTTGAAAAGATTTTGCCATTAACTGGATTGTCAAACTTCGCCTACAAAACTGCCATTTTGCCTGCAGAGAAAATGATTATCTGGCGCACAATGCATTGTATTTGACTAGGATTTTTTAAAGATATTATTCAATTCTTGGTTTGCAATCAATCAATCCCAAGAGAGCACAATAACAAAAGGGATGTCCGCCATGTTGGAAGATATAACAAAAGAATTCATTGAAAAATCTTTTGTCAAATTCTTCCAACATGGCGGCTATTACGTCCATTGCAAACGAAGAATTTGCACATTCTTTACATTATAGAGGCACCATCATGTGATGGCAGCCATGACACGAGGCACAAAAATAAAGTCATTTTCCCCTGGGAAACTGAATTCTTTCTCATGTAAATCAGATTAGACCAGATTCAATTGTTCCTGCCTCCTGTGATGGAGCAAAGCCTCTACTGTTGATTTCTGCAAATGATTTGATTTTAAATGAGGGTAAGCCTGTACAAATGAATCACAGTGGTATCATTTACTGGATATGAGAAAAGGGACTTTTACATTGTATCCAACTCCCACTCCACAGGGGTATAGGTATGGATTTTTCAGTAGTGAAACCTTGCTTGTTCTGAATATAAAATATATCTAACAACTTTTTCTTTACGGTATTCAACTTACCTATAGAGAAAAAGTATCGCTCTGGGATCCTCACGAGTATCCTACATTTCATATCCTGGCTGTGTTGCCAGCGTTGTTGGTCCTTGTAGTGTAGTGGTTAACACATCGGACTGGAATACTGAAGAAGTGGGTTCGATTCCCGCCTCAAGGGCATTTGATATTTTTCTCTTATTCTCTCTTTTTCTTTGATAGCATACCCACTGTCCGTGTTCTACCGACTGGTCCTGTACAGAAAGAATGCAATAATTCAAGTAAGTCTAGACAAATAATAGGGATGTATGACAATTGCTTATTTCAAGTGACATTGCTAGTAAAATTGATGTGATTTAGTATTTTTTTCAATGAGCTCCCCAGTTTTAGGGTCAAATGACGTCTTTTTGACTTCAAATGAAAACCCACAATGATAAGCTTTCACAGGCATTGGATTTTTTTAACCCTTTAAAATGACTTGTGCATGTTCTTTTTACAGAATTAGGCCCACACGTATCCGGAAATTTTTGTGTCTGTATCCAAAAATTTTCAAAAACAGTCTCCAGAATGGAAATTTTTGAATATGCTCCGGATACGTGTGGAGGGTCGTATCCGCAAATTTTCAAATACGCTGACGTAAACATGATTTTGCGCATGCTCGATAAGAAAAACTATCCATCAAAGGGACTACGCACTAGCGTGCAACAGGGCAACTGAAGAACGTGTGGACAGTGAAAACGATTTATAAACGATTCGAATATGCTGCATGTGGACGCAAACATTTTCGTACCCGCAAAATAAAATTTGCGGATACAAAGATTTCCGGATACGTCTGAATGGGGCTTTAAATGATAATTATCATTATTCATGTCTTATTTATCTCGTATAGATGTATATTTTATAGATTCTTATAGCTATATTATATTCTACTTTCAGAGAGTAGTTTTATACATGGAAGTCCAGTTTCCTCCTGTTTCCTCCCTAATAATATTTAAACTAATGGACTATCAAAATATTACTTTCAATTATTTGGTACCCTAGATATTAGGTATATTCATTTAGTGATGGCTAGCCCACCTGTCTTCAAGCTGAGCCCATGTATTTTTCTGTTATGGATGCACATATTAATTATGCATTACGTTGGTCTTTATTACAATATTTGTTAAAAATTTATACTAACCTCTCTTTGTTTTTTGTTTTAGCATTTATATTTCATAATTTGTGGCCTGGCTCTTCTTATCTTCAACTATGGTAAGAACACCAACAGGATTTATATAGTCTTAGTACATAAAATATTTTATGTAGCAAAGCTGTAGGCAATTGCTCTTAAGGTGGCTCTATTGGGTTTTGTTTGTGGCAWATCTTCAAAGTTTGAATGGGAAATGCAATGCTGGCAATAAGCTAATTTCATATTATTGTTATGACACGATAGATTCAAGTTTCTAATGATATACAATTTATCACGATCAGAGTTACAATAGCAACACAGTGACATCATATCTTTTTTTTGTACATTCCATTTTCAGCAAAATCAGATGTTTGTTTTAAAGAAGGTTTAAGAGTAGTACTTTACTACATAAAAGGTTATGTTGACTCAATATACAGTATTCATGTTGTTYGTAGGCTGGGGTGCCAAACATTCTGTTATCAACATTTCCATGGTTTATCTTGTCCTTTTGGTTGGAGGGAGTCAGGCAGCTACAGTGCTCGCTGTATTTGTACTCAACTTTGTAAGTAGACACCACTGGAACCAGGGACTCTGGAGGCAGGAGAGTTTGGAGGGTTGGGGGGGGACTAACACCCCTAAGTTTTTAGCCACAAAATGATTTTCTGTTATGATTTGCCTTATCGACACTTAGCCTTAATGCAATTAAATAACTTGAATTTGCCCCTCAATACTGCAGCATTGGAAATCAAATATAAGAGAGCATTGATTTCAATGTTTTCAGGAAAGGTGGGCCATTCCTGGGAACCCCCACAATTAACCCCCACTCCAGGAATGTTTGTAAACGTGACATCAGGCATCCATCTTCTAGTTTTTGGTTACATTGGTATAATATTGGATTTCCCTCCCTACACACACCCTAACGCATTAAATTCCAATTCAATCTGTGAGTTAGCTGTGACCTAACAAATGCTTAGCCCACATGCAGCTCTTTCTTTTTTCTTTTTTTTTTTTTTTTGACCAAATTTAAAAAACGTTTTTTTAATAGTTGAGTATCGTTTTGTGTTGTTGATTTCCTTAGACATACCTGATAACAGGGTATATGGTTAATGCTACTGGTGGCTATGATGTCAACTGGACTACACCACATTGTGTGTTGTGCTTGAGACTCATTAGTAAGTACCTTCAGGTAACTTATACATTTGTAGACCTCCTTGGCTCGGCCGTAATGTTTTCCCAATTCAAGCCACATGTCATTCCCTTGAAAATAAGATTCTTTGTTTGAGTTGTATCCAGTTGTATCCATATTCATGTATCTTCTCATGTGCTACCGAGAGCAACCATTAAACAAAGTAATGATATTCTAGGAAATGACACATGGTCTGAAATGGGAAAACATTAAGTCCGAGCCGAGGAGGTCTATTATAAGTTACAAATATAACACGGAACCTTAACACCATATTCTCAATAGCCTTTATTGCAGTTTAGCCCAATCATGCAGTTCATGCTGTTGGCCTAAGTCTTGATAAATTTGAAGAATTCCCAAACAGGATTCCCAAACATAAAAAAGTCTGTGAAAGAGATGACCAGCTTTTTAATTTAAGTAATATTTATTTTGTGTATCCTAAGGTTTGGCATGGGATTACTATGATGGAGGACAGGACCAGGTAAAATTTGCAAAAATTTATTTATTTAAGTGAATTCCTCTTTTTCCAACTTTTTTCCCTTCTTTTTTTCTTTTTTTTCTTTTTTGTTTGATCCATTGTTAGTGGGAATTGGGAATTTGGAAAGCTATTGGTTAGGTTGACCAGATCTGTAGTATGGTGTGTTGGTAAGTTATTTTGGTGACATTGGTCATTTCACAGGAAGATGATGAATGGATTCATTCAATCATCTTGCTATTGGACCAGATAGATTGTCTGTAAGATGGTGTGTTACATTGCTGATAGGTTTTAATATAACAAAGATCATGCAGTTGTTTTTGTGAATAGAATTGCATTATATTTTCTAGGAAACCTTGTCTGAAGACTACAAGAAGACAGCCCTGAACARACTTCCTTCCCTTCTTGAGGTATTGGCAAGGCCCTGATCCATTTGGGGATTCAACTCAAAATCCAAAATACACCGTAAATAGAGCATACTGTACATGCATTATTTTTTTATTTCCTTTGCACACTACTATGTGCCTCTTGCTTCTGTTCTCAGGTTCAATTCCTGAACTCAGCATCGTACATGTATGCGCATGAGTAGAGTTTGTTAAGTCTCACTCTTAAATCTATCAGTTTTCTCTGTAATCACACTGGGACAATCACAAACGGAACCCTCAGAACCATGCTAGGTGAAAGCCCAAGATCAAATTGGAATTTAGAAGTTGGTTTTTGCGGAGGGAGGAAAACCGGAGAACCCAGAAAACCCTTGAAGCACAGGAGAGAACCAACAAACAACTCACTCACATACAACACTGAGTTTGTAGGGACTCGAACCTGGGTCGCATTGGTGAGAGGTGAGCACTCTCACCACTACGCCACCCATGCTTCCCCTTAACTTGGTCTTATTTCATTAGGTTCTTTAGTCTTCCTTGAACTCTCTGCAAAACTAGGATCCTTTACAGAAGCTTTCGAGGTAACCGATTGATTGATTTCCAGGTATTTGGTACCAGCTTTTTCATGGGTGGAGTCTTGGTTGGCCCTTTGGTAAGTACCTTTACTAAATCTTGTAAAAATATTAGATAAATTTCCCAATAAAAAGTACAATCATGAAAATTAATGATCCAATCCCAACAACTACGGCAACAGACACAGAAAAGTATTTCACTACAAACTTTGATTTTTTTGGCATTAATCAATAATTAATATTATTATATATTATAAAGAAGGCACTACTACCATTACATCATTTTATTATATAGTTAGGATAGTATGTGCTCACTGATTGGTCAAAAACTGTGCATTATTAGTGAACGGAGCACAGTGATGACGCCATCAGTTTGTGCGAGATCCTGCAACCAACTTTCTTTTTGCGTAAATAAATTCAATACCAAAAAAGAATTAGTAGCTATATAATAAAACGGCTATGGCTTGTGCTTCTCCTTACACTCTTTCTTGTTTACTTCACTTCCTGTGTGCTTCATTACTGAACGGAGCATGGAAAAAGCCGCTTTATTTGTTAAATATAGAGGCTTTGCACCATCACTTGATAGAAGCCATGACAGGAGGCAGGAACAATTGAATCTGGTCTAATGTGATTTGCATGAGAAAGAATTCGGTTTCCCAGGGGAGAACGACTCTATTGTCGTGCCTCTTATCATAGCTGCCATCACATGATGGTGCAAAGCCTCTATATAATCCTGAAATTAGGTCTTAGATATTAATACAGATCTTTGTCACCATTCAGTTTCCTATTAAACACTATATCCAACTGGTAGAGGGAAAACTGATTGACAAAGAGGATGACAATAATTCTTGGTAAATAATTAATAGATAGATAATAAATGATGGGATTAACAGTGGATTCCGACGATTTACTCCGACGAAGGACTAGCGTCCGAAACGTCAGTAAGTTTTTTCATCATTTCACGGTGTATAATTTACCTTTTCATCATTACTGTGTCATTAGAAACACCGACGCAGCTCACACTAGTTTTTAGCTAGTTATATCTTTTCAGTGGATTCCACAGTGGCTCTTCTTCCACTGGAATTCAATTAGAATCTAGAAGCTGATTTTTGCGGAGGGAGGAAAACGACGGAGTAACCGGAAATCCCTCAAAGCACCCTCCTAAAGGCTCATCCAATTTTGAAAACTTTCAAAACGTCAAGAGTATTTATAAATTCAAAATTGTACTATAAGATTGTGGGATTTTTTGCATTAACGTTGTCCACCGAAAAAACACATTTACACATTTACACATTAGACATATCAGACATTTACACATAGACTAAAAGAAATATCACGTGTTTCATTATGTATTTTTTGCCTCGTGTGCGTCAGCCTGAACTTAAATGTAAAATTCAACTTGTGAATCGAAAATCCAGAATGCCCTGACCATTTAGTGAGGATTAAAGATGGAGAATAGGTATTTCAGCATTTGTTTTATGACAGAACGTTCGAGGAAACACGTGATATTTATTATAGTCTAAATGTGTATATGTGTAAATGTGTTTTTTCGGTGGACAACGTTAATGACATTGACTGTATGACAGCACATGCAATCCATGATCTTACACACAGCTATGTTTATTGTAACCTGAAAAAATATCATTAATATTATTTCCCATTCACAATTAAAAGATTCCAATCTGACTGCACTATACGTTGGGTCAGGAAGGCGTTTTTTAGACTTGGAAAAAGTTTCAATTTGAACGAATGAAACATCTTATTTATGCACCTACAGTAACTTAAAATTTACCCTTTTATCATTACTGTTTCATTAGAAACATCGACGCAGCTCACGCTAGTTTTTAGCTAGTTATCTCTTCTACAGTAACTTACTTTGATTATAATTTTATTTCTTTATATTTTTCCTTAGTATTGCAGCTGGTTTCAAACGTCTATCAGCTGGGGTACTGTACCTTGGTCTTTATGCAACCCTTGGTTCGTTTTTTCCAGATGAATATCTGCTATCTCAAGATTTTAAGGTAATATGCTTATTGTTTAAGACAATCTTCAATGGAGGAATGCTTCAATCTGTCCATCTGTCCATCCACCCAGCTGGCCATCCATCCGTCAGTCCATCCCATTCATCCATTCATCCATCCATCTGTCCATCCACCCATCCATGTATCCATGCATCCTCCCATCCATGTATCCATGCATCCTCCCAGCTGTCCATCCATCTGTTCATCCACCCATCCATGTATCCATGCATCTTCCCAGCTGTCCATCCATCTGTCAATCCACCCATCCATGTATCCATGCATCCTCCTAGCTGTCCATCCATCTGTCCATCCACCCATCCATGTATCCATGCATCCTCCCAGCTGTTCATCCATCTGTCAATCCATCCATCCATGTATCCATGCATCCTCCCAGCTGTCCATCCATCTGTCAATCCATCCCATTCATCCATCCACGCATCAATCCCATCCATCTGTCAATCCATCCATCCATCATTGCATTCCGTCTATTAACCAATCCTATCCATTCATTTTCTTAAGGACGTTCATGGGCAAAA